TGCATGCATATGGTGTGATTGAAAATACCATAGATTACTCTTCCTCAAATTATCCATATTCATTCTTATGTCACTGGGCAGTCATGTAAAGCCATGCATGGTTCTAGACAGATGCTGTGTTCTTGTTACTACTGTTTCCTCTACCACCACACTGCCTAGAGGGCCTTTATGGTTACCGAGGCTTCTGCTCTGTTGCTGGGTCTTGCTGTGCATTACTTACCACCAGGAAGACATGTATGCAAGATCTTCCAAGACTGCTGGTGAATCTTTCTAAGTCTGTGTAGATAACTCATGCCAACCTTTCAAGACCTGTGTAGTTCTCTCTTGCCATCACATTACCCAGGCCACTCTGCCCCAAAACAAACATGGCTCCTGCTATACTGCCCAGGGCAGGTGGCATGTTGCACAGGGCACACTCAGTTCTCTGCCCTGAATGGGAAAGTGTTATAGCTCTTTAGCAGTACTCAAACCTCCTGGACAGAGGCACCCAGCTCTTTGCCTTTGGGTTGCCAAGATCATCATAGACATCTATCTCCCTCTTTCTCTCTCGATGGACTGACCTTTCAGTTAAAAGCTGAGATCTTAACCTTTTTGACTTTTAGTAGTCTTTACTATTGTTAACCAGAAACTTTAATTACATATTGAATAAATGTGAGGGGAAAAAAAAAAAAAAACCTCACTGCCATCAAGTTGGATACAACTCATAGCGACCCCTCCTTGGGTTTCTGAGGCCGTATCTCTATGGAAGTAGATTGCCAAATCTTCCTTCCAAGGAGTAGCTGATGGATTTGAACCACCAGCTTTCTGGTTAGCAGCCAAATGCCTTAGGCACTATGCCACAAGAAATCCCTAGTGTTAATATAAAATATATTGATGGAAGTAATTCCTGTAGGTAGATTTAATATAATCATTCTTTATGTCTGCAATATCTTAAATGGCCTTATTATTATTTTCAATACATAATACTTTGTAAGATATAAATGAAATGACTTCATTTATTCCACTGTTTTATCTTTCATAAAATTTTACAATTTTTGTTTCTGTTAGGATTATTTCAGTATTTTAAGCTAAATGCTAAAATATCACTTCCATCTGACTTTTAAATCAAAGGAATGCTTCATTTCATTTAGCTATTTTTGTTGTTGTTGTTTAGTTTTGTTTTTAATTTTAAATCATATGTCTTTACAATGACCATGTCTAAAAATATATCTGAGTATAGGTAACAGAAATTTTGCAGAGTATAAGTTGGAAAAAAGCAGGTAAAAATTGGTTTTCCAACAATGGTATTAAGCTTAAGAAAGACTTTTCTCATTAAAAAAGCAGGTTTTAAGAATGTACCACTTCTAAACCATATTTAGAATAAGAATATGTAATGATATTGCAATTTTTATTTAGAATACTCCTAGTAATATTGATATTTTCAAGAAAAAAACATTTAAATATCCTAAAAACTGTAGACTAAAGCAGTAGAATTTTATATCTGTGTTTTACGTTGAAAATTTAACCTTAATATCTCAAAACATTCTAATGATCTCTTCCTGTATATCTATTTTTATCCTAAGAATTTAAATATAAAATAATGGATGAAATCTTCACCCTCTACCCAGCCTACCAGTATCCACTCAGTTTCTGTCCTTCACTCTCAGAACTCTCTTAGTCTCTATCCCCTAATTTCCGTTTAGACTCTTGGTATACTTTTCCACACTTCAGGTGCCCCCACCCCAAACCCCCAGTTTCTGGTAGGGTTCTTTGTCTACTTTTCGGGCTGTGAAGCCGCCCCCCATCCCCACCCTCAGTTTCCGCTTGGAACCTTTGTCTCTGTCCCTGGGTTTACCCTGTCCCCATCCTCCCTAGTGTTTAGTTCCTCTTCAACACTTAGGATTGGTTCTTTAGAAATAGGCAATTGACCTTCTCCATTAAAACACTACTTAAGCACCCTGCAGAGACAGGATCCGGGCTGATGCTACTCTAAGCCTCAGCCCATCCGCCAGATGGATGATTCAATAAAACTTATTTTTCCAACAATTCACCACCCTGGTCTTGTCCCTCTCGGCATTGACACCTAACACCTGCTTATTAATTACTATTTTATTCAACCTTGGAATATTTCTTACATATATAATAATATGTTTATGAGAATAGGAAGTAAAAGATACATCTGGGATGACAACTTTCAATCAACAAGACCTCCTCCTCAGCATATTATATTTATGAGGACTTTGTTTTCCTGTAATAAAATGTGACTGATACATTTAATTCAGGGTGCATGTTGAGAAACGTCATATGTTCCATTTCCTTGATGAAAACTCTTTATCGATATTCTTTTTTTGGTTGTAAGAAATTTGCGGTAAATGGGAAATACATTTAGCAATTATTCCAAAGTTATTTTAGCACCCAATAATTAAGCTCAATTTCATGGATTGCATTGATTTAAAAGAAGGAATTTTCTTGCCTTTTCTAGTTCCTGCATAATTCTCAGCACTGTTATTACATGATGTGTGTTTTCTAGGTACTAATGCTGTCTCAACAGAGAAACTTCAGGAGAAAACAATAATTAAAGATCACATTTGGTGTCAGTGTTATTACGTTTCAGAGGAAATGAATTTATATGTTGCTATAGATAAATACTTCTTTATTTTTGAAAAGTCTGACAATGAAAATTGTCTCACAGTATACCTTATCTATTTTAACTTAGATCTGAATTAAAAATCATTTAAAAATACACTGATAAAAGCAAATTTTCTATCATTTATTACATGTATTTAAAATTCACATGGATCTAGTAAAGATATTTTTGAACATTTTCATTTTATGCTTTAAACAATTACAAATGGTTGGCTTAAAATAATGTGCATATCAATGTAACAACTTTGAAAAGCAAGGAATGCCTTCTTCCTAACAATGGTCATTAACATTCCAATTCAATGGATCATATCTTTTTCTCTCAAAATTCTTTTTTCTAAAGAAAAAAATTCTAAAGGACTTCAACATGCAATGGATATACATATAACATTCAGATTAACTAGCTCCCATGCTTACACTGAACTCATAAGGCAAAAGCCCATTATTATACTGATTCTTTGGCTCAGTGTGTTTATAAAGCAAAGCAATGTGGCAAGACTAACTAAAGCGATCTTTTGTATTTGCTTGTTACAGATGGCTAGCACAATTGCAGTAAATTCAACAATCATCTAGGATGAAATATGCAGCTCTGATTAGCAGGAAAATTTGTTTTCTGAATGCAAGAGACAAGCATGAATCTATTTCTTTAATTGTCCTTGTACCTTAGGAAAATGAGGAAGAAGCATCTTTGTTTTAATAAAACATCATTCTACTTCCTTGTATGACCACATCTGATTAGTAAATAGTAAGCTAATCAGATTCTCTCTGATGAGATAGTGTGTCTTCTACTTTTGGTAACCTCATAGATTTTGCCACAGATTATAAAGTGATTGCATGAGTTGTAGTCATGAAATTTTCCATGCCACAAATATCAGGCTCTCCTCTTAACTGATCAAGAAAAACAAGCCTTTGGTAACTCTAGTTATTATATGCTACATTACAGAACAAATTACCAATAACCATTCCTGAACTAACTACCACATGTCCAGACATTGTTCCTCTAACAGTTTGATGTTTTCTTGTTCCCTGTAGTTCTGTTTGATTTTCTACCGCCTTTGATATTGGTAGGCTAATCTACAGAAATCCTTGTTCTTGAACTATTTCATCTCACAAAGTTCTCATTCTTGCCATCTGATGTAAAAATAACCACTCCAGCAAATAAAATCAAGTCCCAAATAAGAGTAAGTCAAGGTTGCTTGATGACTACCACACAGGCACCTGCTCTTCCAATATTCAAAGAAGCCATCTGCAGAAAAAGATGAAACACAAGGCAAATTTTATAGTCATGGAAAGAATATACAAATCATGATATATTTAGGTCACTTATATATACCAAAATAAAAATAAATGTGCTAATAATTTCAAATTTCAGCCACAAATAGTGAAAAAAAGAAATACTAAGAGTATTTTACAAAAAAGCAAATTACTTGTATATTGAAAATTTAAAAATCAGCATTTATTAACTTTATTTTAAAAGTAGTCCAAATGCTTAGTTATTTTTAGTGAAAGGAAGCTTCTATAGGAAAGTATCCAGGATATGTTTGTTCTGAAGCTTGTGATATTTCATATTGATAGCTTAGAGTTTATTTTAGATGAAAAAGCTATTACACTTATTGCAATTTTCGTGAAGTTATTTCCCCAGATATTGTATTGAATTAAATGTGTTATTCATTCATTCTAGACAGAGGCATACAATGAAGTAACTTCAATATTTTGTCATAAATAGGTATAATTACAATTGATATAGGATTTGTTAAAAAAAAAACTACCTTATGACAGTCACTGAAATAAGAACTGAGTTTCTTTTTTAATAATAGTATGAAATTGTCTAGGAATATATTGAAAGCAATAATTTTTACAGAGTTTGTAATGCAAATTTATTCCTTGAAGGTAAGCCAGTATTTTAATAATTTGAGGTATTTTATATCAATGATTCTTTATTACAGTTTTCTAAGCATAATTTATGCACATAAAAATATGAAAGAAGACTAGATATTACAGGATATTATTTCAAACTGAAAAGAAAGTGAATTAAATATAACAAATAAAAAAGCTAAGAGCAAAATAACCTCGGATCACATAGAATATTTTATTGATTGATGAAGGACATGTTCTCACTCTCTAAGTAGAAATTTTGGCTCCATCATACCCAACTCTTTAAATGTATTTGTTATCTTTCAGTCAATTTTAAGTTAAAAAAAAAAAACTTTCTATATGTCATTTTTTTAATTCCTTTTACTAAATATATTATTTTTAAAAGCTAATTTAAAAGTATAAATGTCCTCTTACCTTAAAATAAGAAGTGGAAAGAGAAATGGGAATATATTGAGAGCCTAGCTTTGTGTATTAAAAACATTTTTATAGGTCATCTTCATAATCATATTATATATTGTTATCTCTTATTAAGAGGTGAGGGCATGTTGTTTTAGAGATAATAAGTAAATCCCAAAGCATCACTATATACAAACCCAAAATTAATGACTTCAAAATACATGCCTCTCTTTTATTATCTAATAATTTCCTAAATCTGTTTGACATCAGAGTCATCTAAGATTTTTCTAAGTGTATGCACCCAAGTGCCACCATTAAATAGTAATAGTATGAGGATTGATTACTAATTCACTGTTTGTTTGTGTTTGTTGTGTGCCATCGAGTCGGCCCCGACTCATAGCGACCCCTCCTTGGGTTTCCGAGGCAGTATCACTACGGAAGTAGATTGCCCCATCTTCCTTCCGAGGAGTGGCTGGTGGGTTTGAACCACCAGCCTTCTGGTTAGCAGTCAAGTGCCTTAGCCACTAGTATTTATTTATTTCATATAACAGTTCTCTTCCCACTTCGTTCCTCTGGTTATCTTTCCCCTGCATTCCTGCTCTCTGAGAGCTCTCCCTGTGCAAATACTGCCCTTCTGGTCTTGCATGGTTGATTGTTCTAAGGAATGTACCTACCAGGTGTAAATGTTCACCTTATATGTCTGTCTATTGTTTGGCTGAAAGAAACAGGAGTGAGTTCAATTCCAGGCCAGAAGGGTCATTAGGGGCCATAGCCTCAGGAGCTTCACAAATCTATGAGACCAAGCCTTGTCTTTTTAAAATTTTGACTTTTTTCCACATTTTCTCACACTTCATATAGGATCTCCTATTCTAGTCCCTGTCTGAGTGGTTGACCGTGATAGCTGAGCACCATTTAATTCTTCTGGTCTCAGGCTCATGTAGGCTGAAGTTTGCATGGTCTTTTAGTCCCTTGGTTCAATTGTCCCCATGTGTTTTTGGTTTCTTCATTCTTCTTTGCTCTGGACGAGGAGAGACGTATTGTTGCATTTTATATAGCTGCTTGAAGCTTTCAAAGATCTCAGTCTGTTGTTATCCAGGTAGGATGTAGAACAATGTTTTTGTGTGGTATGTTATGTCATTGGGTATAACTTCCCCTGCCACCATGGTCCCAAGCCCACGGACCCAGTGACTCACTGCCTCAGAGTCTTTGAATGTGGTTAAGAAGTTATCATGACTTTGCCCCAGTAGCTGTATTATATATATAGACATTTTTATAGCATATACAAATACATACGTAGAAATCTTGTCTGCCAAACTTATATATAGTCATGAATATATCCTCTTTTTCCTAGACATACCTGATCGTTTAACCTGTCTACCTATGTATCCACCTGTAAGTCAATGTTTGTTACTACTGATAATGTAGTACTGTGTATGTAAGTGTTTATATTTGTTGTCTGTACCTCTTGTGCAGCTTTTTGTGTCTTCTTTTTCCTTATTTTTATTGTGTTAGTCACTTACTTTTAATACACTGTCTTTCCCTTCACCAAAATCAATACTTTTCCCTTACTTATCTAGCAATTTTCTCACCCCTCCCCTCCCATCTCTGATAACAACAAAGTTTCCTTCCATATGTAAACCTTTCCTTGGCTTTTTACAATAGTGGACTAATACAATATTTTTCCTATGATTGACTTATTTCACTTAGCATAATGTCCTCCAAGTTCATCCATGTTATGAGGTGTTTTACAGATTCTACACTATTCTTTAGTGTTGTATAGTAGTTCATTGTGTGTATGTACATAGCTTATTCATTCTCTCTTTCCTACCATGAACAGTATTGCGATGTATATGGGTGTGCAAATATGTACTGGTGTTCTAGCTTTCACTTTTTAAGGATATATATAAACTTAGTAATGGGATTTGTTCTTCTTCTTCAGTAGTATTTTGCTTATCCAGTGGCTATTTCCTTTCCATATAAAATTAGTTATTGGTTTCCTCATGTCATTAAAGAATGTAGATGGAATCTGGATTGGGATTACACTGAAGGTACAGATTGCTTTAGGTAGTAGTGACATTTTCAGAAAGTTCACTCTTCTTATCCAGGACCACAGTATGTTCTTCCATTTATTTAGATCTCTTATAGCTTCTTGAAGTAATGTCTTGTTGTTTTCTTTATATATGTCTTTTGTGTCCCCGGCAAGATTTATTCCCAAATATTTGATGTTTTTGGTAGCTATTGCGAATGGTTTTGATTTCTTTTTCAGAGATCTCTTTCCTGGTGTAGAGGAATTCAACTGATTTTTGTAGTTATTAGTGTTTTTAAGAAGTTCCCCAGATGTTTTCTGATGTAATCATAGAGAGAGTGTTTTTGTTATTGTTGTAATCGGGTGCTCTTTAGTCCATTCTTACTCATAACGACCATACGTACAACAAAACAAAACACTGCCTCGTCCTGCACCAACCTCACAGTTGTTGCATTATTTGAGCCAATTGTTATAGCCACGGTTTCAATCCAAATTGTTGAAGGTCTTCCTCTTCTTCACAAACTTCTACTTTTCCCAGTCTTGCCATCCTGCCTTCCCCCCCCCCCAATCCTCCTTTTAAGCTCAATTCTGGCTACACATCTTCTAAAATGGATTTACTCATTCTTCTGGAAGTCAAACATCATAATTGAATGGCATCAGTTCTTCTTCAATTATCCTTATTCATTGTACAGCTTTCACATGTACATGAGGCAATTGAAAATATCAGGTATTTTACAACAAGGTCAGGTGTATCTTAGTCCTCAAAATGACATGTTTGCTTTTAGCACTTTAAAGACACCTTTTGCAGCAGATTTGTTCAATTCAATATGTCATTTGATTTCTTGACTGTTGCTTTCATTGGTATTGATTGTGGATCCAAGTAAAATGAAATCCTTGACAACTTCTGTATTCTCTATGTTTATCATGAGGTTGCTTATTGATCCAGTTCTGAAGATTTTTGCTTTCTTTATGTTGATGTCTAACCCATACTGGAAGCTAAAGTCTTTTATCTTTATCAGTAAATCCTTTAAGTCCTCTTCACTTTCAGCAAGTAATGTTGCATGATCTTCTTATCACAGATTGTTCATAAATTTTCCTCTAATCCTGATGCCATGATTTTCTTCGTGTACTAGAGTTTCTTGGATTCTTTGGTCAGCCTACAGATTGAATAAGCATGGTGAAAGATACAGCCCTAATGTACACTTTGCTGGATTTTAGAGCACTGAGTATTCCATCACTCTGTTCAAACTACTGCCTCTTGGTCTATGTACTGGTTCCACGTAAACACAATTCTTCTAGAATCCCCATTCTTTGTTATGAACCACAGAGTCTAATGCTTTGTCATAATCAATAAAACAAAAGTTAACAAATAGAATAGTTCTATTTTTTTATTATCTATACCTACACTCTGGTAGCGTAGTGTCTAAGGCACTTGATTGCTAACCAGAAGGCTGGTGGTTCAAATCCTCCGGCCACTCCTCGGAAGGAAGGTTGGGCAATCCTTCTTCCGTAGTGATACTGCCTTGGAAACCCAAGGAGGGGTCGCTATGAGTCGGGGCTGACTTGATGGCAAATAACAATAACAACAACAAATACCTACATCTAGGAGCTCTTGTGGCTTAGTGCCTAAGACATTTGACTGCTAACCAGAAGGCTGGTGATTGAAACCCACCAGCCACTCCTTGGAAGGAAAGTTGGGCAATCTACATCCATAGTGATACAGCTTCAGAAACCCAAGGAGGGGTCACTATGAGTCAGATCCAACTCTACGGGAGTGTGTTGTGTTTTGTGTTTATACTTACATCTAAGGATCTGTAATGGCATAATGATTAATTCCTTGATTACTAACCTAAAGGCCAATGTTTTGAGCCCACAAGACAATCTGTGAGAGAAAGATGTGGCAATCTTCAGTAAAGATTCTAGTCTTGGAAACACTATGGGACAGTTCAACTCTGTCCTAGAGTGTCACTATCAGGAGAAGTTGGCTTTACCTAAATGGGCTTGATTAGATTAATAGCTACTATATCTCTATGTGCTCATGTAGAAACCAAAGTCAAACAATTGTCCCATTTGTTAGAGTAGAACTGCTACATAAGTTATTTATTGGCTGTAATCTTTCCAGAAGCAGATCACCAGGACTTTCTTCCATTCTGCTAATAGGTGAGTTCAAACGCCAACCTTTAGGATACTAGTTAAGTGCAAATTGTCGGCACTACCTAGGGACCAATTTTCTCATGTTTATGTGTGTAAAAATTAATCTTACTTCATTTTCCCAAAAACACACTATTGCTTCTGTGTTTCCTATGCCAGTGAATGACACAGCCCTCTACTTAGTTGCTCAAGAAAGCAATGTTGAGTGCAACTATGGCTTTTCATTTTACCTCACCTAAACCAACATGTAAAATCATCCTTTCCTCTAAATATCTCTCCAGTCAAATTAATTCTGTAATTTTTAGTGTTTCTAATTCAGGCTACAGTGTTAGCTTGAGTAGATTAAAGTATCCTTCCATTGGTTTCTCTGACCCCAAACTTCCAATCATCTGTTTTCCACATCATAATGAGTATGATCTTAAGAAAAATTGTTCTTATTATTTATGTCCTCAGCTTAAAACTTTTCACTAATTCCCCTTTGTTCTTATTATAAAAACAAGACACCTTAACAGGAACTCATGGTTACCTCATGTGTTCAGAGTAGAACTGTGCTCCCCAGGGTTTTCAATACTTGAGTTTTGGAAGTAAATTAACAGGCCTTTCTGCAGAGGCACTTCTGACAAGACTTGAGCCTCTAACCTTCCAGCTAGCAGCTGAGGTCATTAACAGTTTACACCACACTGGGAGTCCTTACAAAAGAAAGAGCCTACTTATCTCTCCAAAAACTTTGCTCAAAACTCATGTCTTACCCAATGAAACATGTTATTTCCTTTCCCTCCTACAGTTCTTTACAATTCTGTTCCTTAAGTCAGACACTATACATTCTGACTCATTGTCATAGCAGTTCTCATATTTTCATCTGATTATTATTTATCTATCTCTCTAGCTCTATGCTGCATATCATTTCCTGCAGGAATTGTTCTCTACACAACATACTTCATTGCCATCATAATATGACATATTTTTCTTACTACATATTCTATCATTGTGTTTTAAGTATTTGGTGCATTCTATATGAATGTATTTAAAACAATTAAGTGAGGTTTACTCTCTTCCTCATAGACCAATTTAATTATTTCACATCTACCCTTGGTTTCCCTACAATGAGTTACACTTTTCAGCCTGAGTTGTATGGTAACCTGAAAGGATTAGCCATAAAATAAATTAGATGAAAGCAACTAAGAATGTAGAAATACTACCCGGCTTCTGGAACTCAGTATCAACTTCCTATATATGTATTGTACACAAATAAAAATGAAGCTCAGATACTACTGAAGTAAAAGTTGTTGCAACAATAATTCTCCATTCATTTATTTGAGAAACGATCATGCATCCCTGACTCCATGCCAATGACCACGTTAATGTTTGGAGACAGGAAATGAGACAGAGATCTTTATTTCCTTACAACCTGCAGCAGGGTGCAGTATGACAGTACCGGACAGTGTATCATGAAAATACATAAATGAGTCATTTTACCTAGGCTAATTAAAGCACTCAGCTATTAAGCAAAAGGTTGGTGGTTTGAACCCACCAGCTACTCCATGAGAGAAAAGACTTGGAGATATGCTCTCATAAAGATTATAGCTTTAGAAGCCTTATGGAGCAGTTCTACTCTCTGATACATAGTGTTGCTAAGAGTCAAAATCATCGTTATAGCACACAACAAAATAACAAATGGAGAAATGGGATAAATTTCTTCTTTCTGTGCTTTGAAGCACATGTTATTTTATTTCTAAATCAAATGCAAGTGATAAGCCTAATGCTAAATAATAAAATCAAATTCTTATTTAAAAATAATGCATATTTCCTTTATAGAACAAACAAAGCAGGTAAAAACCTGCCATATCTTCCATAATCTGTGTCCATTATTTCCAATCCTAGAGAACCTCAGAAAACTGGGGAATTTTCCAAAAATAGTCATTCTTGCATGTTTTAATATATTTTTTTTCTCAATAATCATTCCTTTGGGATGCCAGTAATCAATGGAATAACTAGCTGAATTTGTTCACTTATAGGATCCATTGGGAAAACAAGGCAGCAATGATCCAGCAAACATGGGCATTCTGTCTAGTAGGCTGGAATCCTAAGACTTTTCAAAGGGATTTTGTGTAGGTCTATTAATGGTCCCTCAAGAGTCTTAAAAAATACAAATAGTGAAAAGATCTGGGAGGAAAATCATAAAGTAATTTAAGAGTTTTAAAACTAATGTTTATACTACGAAAATGAAGTTGTTGTAAAACATTTTAAATATCACTTTGTTGTTTGTAAGGTATTATATGATGCAAAAGAGGGTAATAAAATACAGACAAGGGAAATATTTTTAGGAGGTTTTTATGTGTTATTAGTATATAAATCACTTTGATATCAATTTTAGAAGAATGATAAACATAATGGCTAGTTATCATAAATAAATAATAAAGATATTACATCATATCATTTATACGCCCATAAACTTTCTTTATTTAATGTTCATTTTTATAAATGGCATATTTAAGATATTTATCATTGAGATGGCACATTTCCTTAGCAAATCAACAACCAATCCATGGAATGTATCTTACGGAATTATTAGGGAATCAGAAAGGTAAGATGTTAAAATAAGTCCTCAAAGATTTTTGTGGGAGTTCTGGTGAAGTAGTGCCTAAGGCATTTGACTGCTAACTAGAAGGAAGATCAGGCAATCTACTTCCATAGACATACTGCCTCAGAAACCCCAGGAGGGGTCACTATGACTCAAATTGACTTGACAGAAATGAAGGGTTTTTTGTTGTTGTTGTTGTAGTTAAGATTTTAGTACAATAATGTAAAAAGCAATCATAATTAGCTTGTTATATTTTCTGTCCTTTAGATAAGGAATGCTTCTTCTCTCACAAGTATATTAAAACAGAAAAGCACAGGATTTATTTCTTCAAATACTCTTTTCTTTTCTCCCATTTCTCCTTTTTCCTTCCTGCTTAGTCAAATTTACCTAGATTGAATTTAAAACATATTATTTCTTTAGGGGAGAGTAATGTGATGCAATGCTTAAGGAATGAGACTACTAATCACAAGGTCTGCAGTTGGAACCCACCAGCTGCTGCGTGGGATGAAAAATGAGGCTGTTTGTTTCTTTAAAGACTTAACAGCCTCAGTAAACTTAGGGAGCAGTTCTACTCTGTCCTGTAGGGTTGCTTTGGATTGTTATGAGTTGAAATCGACACAGTGGCAATGTGTTTTTGGTTTGATGATTCATAATGCAGGGAATTTTTCCTGGACAGTAAGAATTACACTTCAAAGTCAGCCCATCTAAACACTGTTGTTGAACACACACCATCAGAACTTGCACAATCAAGGAAGTGACGTGGAAGAATTCCATCACTTCCAAACAAATTAAGTATTTGTAAAAGAAATTCACCTTAATCAGTGTTTAGGTTCTTTAGATAAGCTTTAACCAATGCCTGTGATCAAAAAGAGGACCCTCCACACACTGAGAAATATTCTGCTTAACTAAGAAAGGCTTTGAAATTTCACTGCATTCATTGATAGAAACTATATTTTGTTCTTTCAAAGGTTACCTTACTTCTACATTTTTGATAAGGGAGAGAAAGAAGAAAAATACTGAGAAAGTTGGAGATGAAAAGAGAAATGGAATATAAGAACAAATGTCTAACAATAGATCTATAACCTGTATTAAAAGCAAGGGCATAATAGTTCTACATCAAAAAGCATTTTTCAGTATAATTAGGTTGCCCTGCCCACACCATTCCTCAACCCCTCTGTCCGCACTCACACATACCAACTTACACGTCCTCCAGTTACTTGACCAGAAAGGGAGCAACTTTATCCCAGTGAAACCCTGTATGTCTAACTGCAGTGTTGATTTAGGGGTTACACCTCACTTAAGTTCTGCAATCATTCTACTCCATGTGTCTGGACACAGTGATTATCCAGGAATGAGCATTTGATACATGACAGACCATTTGGAGTCCTTTTTTTTTTTTTTTTTTTCTTTTGCTATTTGTTATTCAATTGAACTAGGAAAAAAATTATTTAACTTTCTGCTTATTGCTTTGTGGATTTCTACTTTAATCTTCCAAAAGTCCCACTTCCCTGCAGGACCTCATAGATTCAAGCAAAACTGAAAGCCAGAGAAGTGGATTTCTGCAGCCTTTCATTTCTTTCTTTCTTCCAGTTATCTGTAAATCTAAATTTGGTAAAGGTAGGATTTTGTGCACCAATAAACAACACTTTTATTTTTTTTGTTTCAACAAATTCAAATTCAATATTACTATTTATAATTAAATGGAAATCCATTGGTGTATGAATATTGTTTTTTAAATCTAAATTCTGTTAAACATATATAAGAGAAAGGTATACAAATAAAAATATGCTGTTTAATTATTATTTTTTTTTTTTTTTTGCTAAATGAACACCATATTGAGTAAATCAGTAATTTTTGGCTCAGAGAAATTTGACTAGGTAGATTATTTTTAATCTCCCCCTCCTCTCCATAAGAAAGTAAATTATTAATTCTGCTGGTAATCTTACCTGTGTCCACTCATTAGTTTGTGGATCATAAGATTCCATTGTGTTGAGATATGTTTGCCCATCATAGCCACCAACAGCATACAATCTGTCTCCAAGGAGACAGACACCGACAGCATCTCTGGGCATACTCAAAGGAGCTACCATAGTCCATGTATCAGTTTTGGGATCATATCTAAAATACAAAGACAATAAAACATAAAATATTCTAATAACATTGAACTTACCTTATATGTGTATCATGGCAAAGAAGACTGAGTTTCTTTTAAAGCTCAATTATTTGATCAGGTGTTCTAAACTAATATCCACAGTGTCTTTTAGGTATATTTAAAAAAAAAAACATAGACTCTTATTTAGAAAGAAGTTGAGTCATTTAACAAAAATATAAATGTAAATGTCATGATTATTTTCCAAGAAGAAAAGTCAGATATGTAAATAACTATTATTCAAAAATATAATGAAGTTCTTTCAAACATGTATTAGAAAATGTTATGGTTATGAAACAGAAAGAATGGCTAAAAATGTAAGAGAATCATGAAATGCTCTATTTAATGGAGATGAAGTCTCCATTAAATCATGGCTTAAATCCTAATCTAAAGTTTCTAGAAAGAGAAAAATGTGCAAAAGAACCAAAATTAATAATAATAATAATGACCAATTTCAAGGGGAGCACATGTGTGTAGTCTGCTATATAAGTAAATATGAGAGGAAGTTTGACTGTAAAGGTGGATTTTGATCAGCTCATGGGTTATTTTGACTTCTAAGCAGAGGTGCTTTGAGTTCACATAGCAGTAAAATACGGAGTCTTGGAATTTGAGGAGTTACAACAGAACTGTGTTGGTGACATTATTCAAGGCATTATTTTGGTGAGTCAAGAGACTGAAGTCAGAGAGCACATGTTACTATAATTTAAACCAAAACAATTAGCTTTTCAAAAAAGCTAATTACCATGTATTACAAATGGCTATTTCATATTTTCAAGGAAAAAAACCTAAAGAGTACTTTGGTGACAGCAATTTATTTCAGCTAAAAATTAGTGATTATACCACCTCAGTAGCTTTTAATCTGCAACTGCAAGTTCTGATATCAATAGGAAAAAAGTAATGAGAACTCAATGAAGTAAATATAAGATAGGAAAAAAAGTATTTTCTGACACACAGCAGATACATTCTTAGTTGGCTTTATTGTTCCAAATTCTTCGCTTCACCATTTACAAATTCCAGCACACAGTAACTAAAACAAACAACCAACCAAACCAAAACAATAATTTATTGAAAGTAAAGAAAGATGTTAATGAAGAAATGGTTTGGAAGATCAGAATGATCTGGAATTTGTAATTCATAGAGAATACTCACATTGTACAAGATATTATATACATTTTCATAGCACTGTTGGTGGATTGATACAAATGACATGTATGAAATAAGAGATTGGTTGAATGCCTGCAAAACCAGAACCACCTTAAAGCTTAGGCTGGTTAGTACCTAAGAATTTAGTTAATAAATGTGATACCTCACACACAGACACATACACAAAATCTATGCCATCAATCTTCTATAAACTATTTAAACTTTTCTAGGAATCTATTGAAATACACAAAAATAAAATATGCATATAAAAATATAAAAGAAAAGACCACAATGAAATCAGCATTTCAGTTCTGCATGTGGCACATTCTACAGGAAAACAAACTAAAGTTACAACCAGTCAATAAAAAACTATTAATAATATTTAAAATAATAAAGCAATATAACTTTTCTAAATTAAATGTGACTTAGAACCATAACAAAAACTAAAATGAGTAAACTTTAGAGTCTAATTCAAACAAACCAACTGACAAAAATTCTTAAAGATGTTTAAGACAATTTAACATAAACAGGTAGTGAAATTATAACAAATAGGATGGCTTTAATTATATGAGATAATTACATAGTTGTTTTGTACAAAGAAAAAAAAATCCAAATCATTTTTTTTTTCTTTTTTGTTTCTGGGATAAATTCAGAAATATTTAGGCTGAAATTACTTGTTTGTGAAATTCTTTAAAATAATCCGGTTGTTTACATGAGTAAATTACACAGGGTAGTATTTTGTATTGTTTAATTTTTTGTTTGTTAGAAAAATTTTATAATAAATGTAAATTTAAAAGGAAGAATGTATGTATACATTGCAGTTTCAATGAAAAATTACATTTCTTTACATTTTATTCATCCCTAAAAAGAATCCAGTTGGGCTTTTGTCACAATCTTTTTACTTAAAAAGCATTTTCTGGTTTTATTTTAGTCCTTAGTTATTATTCAGCTTTATAGAACTATTTTTCAACCATTGTCTACTGACTTTATTACAGTGCAAAACAAATAAACAAGGGCATTATTGAGAAAGCAATTGACAGTAGTGAATCAGGCATAATAAGTGATCTGATGTCTTGATTCTTCTTGTGGAATTCTAATGTTGACACACTTCTCAAATATTCATATTGCAGAGGAAATTGTCATTAAGTACTGTCAAGTCAGCTCCAACTCATAGCGACCCTACCTACAACTGAAGGAAGCACTGCCGGTGGTATGTCATCCTCACAATCCTTGTTATACTTAAGCCCATCGTTCAGGCACTGCATCAATCGATCTTGTTGAGGGTCTTCCCCTTTATTGCTGACCCTCCACTTTATCAAGAATGATATTCTTCTCCAGGGAATGGTCCCACTGACAACATGACTAAAATGAATGAGATGAAGTCTGTCCTCTCTCGCTTCCAAAGAGCTTTCTGGCTGCACTTCTTCCAGGACAGATTTGTTCGTTCTTCTGGCAGTCCATGGTATTTTCAGTAGTCCTCATCAACACCACAATACAAAAGAATCAATTCTTCTTCAATCTTCCTTATTCATTGTCAAGCATTCATATGTTTTTGTGGCAGTTGGAAATATCAACTTGGGTTGGTGCACCTTAGTCTTCAAAGTAATATCTCTGTTCTTCAACACTTTAAAAAAATATTTTACAGCAAATTTGCCCAGTGCAATAGGGTGTCTGATTTCTTGATTGGTGCTTCCATGGGTGTTGGTTGTGCATTCAAGTGAAATAAATCTTTGATAACTTCAGTCTTTTCTCTATTTATGGTGATGCTGCTGATTGGTCCAGTAGTGAGTATTTTCATTTTCTTTATGTTGAATTGTAATCCATACTGCAGACTGTCATCTTTGATGTTCATTGGTAAGTGCTTCAAGTCATCTTGAAGTCTTCAAATGAGCAAAGTTGTGTAATCTGCGTATCACAGGTTCTTAATGATTCTTCCTTCAATCCTAATGCTGTGTTCTTCATCTTATAGTCCAGCTTCTTGAGTTATTTGCTTAGAATATAGACTGAATAAGTATAGTGAAAGGATACCCTCACTCATCTTTCTTGATGTTAAACCATGGAGTATCCCCTCTCACAGGAAATTAAGAACACACTAATATGTCCTGTTTGTAGCTACACATTCAAGACTATAATTGTACAAAAAAAAAAAAGCTCACTGTCATCAAGTGGATCATGACTCATAGCAACCCCCTTTGGGTTTCCAAGGCTGCAAATCTTTGTGGAAGTACATTGACCAGTCTTTCTTCCATGGAGTGGTTGATGAGTTTGAACCACCAGCCTTCTGGTTATCAGTCAAATACCTTAGGCACTATACCACATCATCTATCTATCTATATCTATATCTATATCTATATCTATATCTATATCTATATATATATATGAACACTGGTGGCTGAGTGCCTAAGGCATTTGACTGCTAACCAGAAGGGTGGTGTTTCAAATCCACCAGCCACTCCTTGGAAGGAAGATTGGGCAATCTACTTTTGCTGTACTGATACCACCTCAGAAATCCAAGGAGGGGTCACTATGAGTCAGATCAGACTCAATAGCAGTGAGTTTGTTTTTGGTATTACATAAATACATATTCCTTTATCTGTTGAGGGAAATTAAAAAGTTTTGACACACACTACTGATGGATAACTCCAAATCTTACATTCTGATGTATCTATCTTTTGTGGTAGATAATGTATTTTTTAATATACAATAAAGACCTTTTAATATATGGAAGCTCTGGTAGCATGGTGCCTAAGGCATTTGACTTCTAACCAGAAGGTTGGGGGTTCAAACCCACCAGACACTTCTCAGAAGGAAGGATGGGCAAACTACTTCTGTAGAGACAATGTCTTGGAAACACAGGAGGGGTTGCTATGAGTTGAATCCTACTTGATGGCAGTGAGTTTGGTTTGGTTTGGAATGTGACGATGTTTAAATTTATGTATTACCAGAAAAAAAAAAAAAAAAACTGCAGATGATATTCTTCTATTCTATCTCAGGCTTTTAGGGCAGAATCACATAATTTTAAAATTGCCT